GTTAAGTCAACTTTTTTTAAGTAACATTTCCAGAAGCCCACACAACATTCCCACTGTCATTCCACAAAGTACAGGTTAGTCACATGGTCAATGAGAACTGTGTTCTCTTAACTGGATCTAATGCCTTCCCAAACAAAATTAGAGTTTAGAGAAAAAAACATGGATATTTTGCAGCAACTGGCAGTCTCTGCCACACGTAAATATGAATAAAGAGCAAAGGAAGCTCATAGCAATAAAGTAGTTACCTCTGGAATCTAGAAAAGGCTTTTTAGAAGAAGATTTTATTTATCTTTTTGGAAAGTCAGGATTAGAGAGAGAGAGAGAGAGAGAGAGAGGGAAAGAGATCTACCCACTGGTTCACTCTCCAGATGGCCACAGGCTGAAGCCAGGAGCCAGGAGCTTCATCCAGATCACCCATGTGGATGGCAGGGGCCCAAGCTCTTGGACCATCTTCACTGCTTTTCCCAGGCCATTAGAAAGGAGCTGGATTGGAAGTGGAGCAGCCAGGACACGAACTGGCAGTCATATGGGAAGCTAGTATCAAGGCTGGTGACTTTACTCAGTATACCACAATGCCAGCCCCCAGGAAAGGTGGCTTTGAGGAGATAAAATTTGGGATATAAAGGATGAGTCTGAGAAAGAATATTCTGGGCAAAAATACTAGCGTGTGTAAAAGTACAGAAGAATCTGGCATGATTCCTGCAAATTAATCCCATTTCTATTATTTCTATTTATTTTCCCTCTATTAATAACAGGTCCTAAAGTAACAATTTAATTTTCAATTAATCTAGCAGTTATTCAAGATAAACAGATTAAAATATGTCAAAAATGATTATCCTCATATAATTGCTAGCAGTTTTCTACTTGGATCAAAATAAGAACATTTTATCTGATGATGACATTTTAAAAATAATTGAGTTAGAATATTCTGGCATCTTAAAGAGGAATTGATACAGAGAAAAGAAAAAAAAAACAATTGTGTTAGGGAGATGCTTGTCTTTCAAACACTGAAGTTGAACAAAACCCAGTTAGAACTGGCTTGGTTCATATCCGAGGACCCATTGGCCCACAGTGAGAGCACCAAGTCAGAAATATCTGGCCAAGTTAGCCTTAAAAATCTGTCACCTCCTATTTAGTGAATCCTAATATGACTGTTACTTTGGATCTGTGAAGCTGAACTGGTCTTTTCTTAAATTGGTTTTGGAGTCATAAGAAATCTTTAGGATTAGAGAGATTTTCCAAGATTATCTCCATTGGCTCCATTAGAAACATCAGATTCCATCAAAAATTTTCCAAAGTTAAATCCTTGAAAAACCTGAAATTCCTATCTTTTAAGAAGTGAATGCAGTTAAGTTTGAAATGCCTGACAGTGTGAGTTCCAGTGCCCACTGCATATGCTGTCCTCCCACTCAGCTGAGCATCTGTAAAATTAAGCCCGTTTTTTCTTTTCAATCCCCAAGAACAATAGTAGCATCAATAATTCATTGAATGCTGCCTAAATTATGATTAACAAGCTTTCTTTCTCAAAGGATTCAAGTGATGTAGTCTTCTGAAATTTTCATTTTTGCCAACTTTGCTTTTTGCTTACTCTCTTAGCTAGTTTCTGGGCACCTCTAAAAGATACTGAACCTCACAGCAGTCTCTCTCCTTCAGTTAACTCCAACTCCTCATTCGCATCTCAGCTCAAAATTGATTCCTCAGGAAAGTCTCCTCTGGCTTCCCTAGCCAGATTGAACCCTCCAGGTTTTACACTCTGTGTAAAATGGGTCTCTGTTTTATGGCTTTTATCATGATTATCATTTTACATTCATTGTGTGTGTGTTTTAATAACACTCGCCTCCCCATTAGACTGTCAGTCTCATGAGATGGGCCCTTACATGCTTAAATTCACCAGTGAATCTCAATCTTAGTACAGTGCCTGGTCCATAGCAGGTCCTCACTAAATGCTGCTGGAATGATTAAATTAAAACGTGAGGAAGGCTGTGGCTGGCATTTGGTGCAGCAATTAAGTTGCTGTTTGGGACACCTGTATTCCCTATCAAAGTGCCAGCTCCACTTCCGATCAACCTTCCTGTTAATGCATAACCCTGGGAGATATGAGTCATAGCCCAAGTACTTGGGTTCCTGCCACCCACATGAGAGACTCAGATTGAGTTCCAAGCTCCTGGACTTAGCCTGGCCCAGCCTCTAGCCTTGAGGGCATTTTAGAGAGTGAACTAGTACGTGAAAAATATCACTCATTCTCTCCCTTTCAAGTATATAAAAATAAATAAATTATTTCCATTTTTTGTAAATAACATACTTCTGTGATATCATTTCGTATTGTATTCAAGATATTACAGGGAATACAGAATTGATCAGTTTTTGTGTAGATCCAGCTACAGATAAGAATTCTGAAAATAATTATGCTGCAGATACATAGAAGTACACCAAAGGCAGCACATACTTGACTCTGCATGGTTGGAACTTGTTTGGATTCGAAAGCAGCCTCACTGCAGCCTCTGAATGGACCAAGGCAAACTGCTACTTGAACACAGTGAGCCCACAGGGGTAGAGCCAACCAGCTTTGCTGCCCACTTTAGAACTCAACACAGTGTTTACCTAATATCTTTGTATTTCAACAAATACACAACTGTTAAAGGAGTCATTGCATTGTTATCTATTTATAAAAAGACTCTTGTGAGGCTAGTATTGTGGTGCAGCAGTTTAAGCTAACTCCTGCAATGCTAGCATCCCATATGAGTGCTGGTTTTATTCCCAGCTGTTCTACTTCCAATCCAGCTCCCTGTTAATGCATCTGAGAAAAGCATTGGCAGATGACCCAACTACTTGGTCTCTTGCCACCTATGTGGGAGACCTGGTTGAAGCACCTGACTTCATCCTGGCCATTACAGAAAAGAACGAGTGGAACCTTCACTTTCTGTTTCTCCCTCTCTCTTTAACTCTGCCTTTCAAATAAGTAAATACATCTTTTTTTATAAAAAAGATGTTCGTTTGCTTTTAATGAATATATATTAGCACATTTTAAATATAGAGTACATATAAAATATATATCACAATGCTGAGTTATTATAATTTTAAATCTTGGCTTAAGCATTTATTTGCAATTGAAAATAAAAGGTAAAGAGAAAGTCAAGACTCAATGAAAAGTACAGTAACAATTATATTTTTGAAAGGCAGGACGGATTGTAGGGACTCTGTGAGGTTAATCCCTTCCAGTATCACTATAGTTCTCATTTTATTTTTCAAAGACAGTAATTGAAATAGTTTGGGAGTGGATAAGTCTTTTACTGCTAGCTGTAATTATAACTATAAGAGATTCAACCTGGAATAATTTGGATCTGACTTGTTTTTAAACTGAGACATTGCCAAGGAAAGAGTAAAGATACAGATGAGCTTGCCTGCCTGCTTTATAAGGCTTATGATTTTGTTGAGCATGCTTTGGAGTAAACATAAATGTTTTGTTTAAAGTATTTAGAACTTAGTTTATTATGGTTTATTATTAACTAACTGACCTTGGGCAAGGTTTATGTCCTCAATTGTCAAATGAAAATATTTTCTATCTCTCTTTTGCTCATTATTGAGATATTTGAATTGTGCCTGATACACTTGGTCCTGGCAGATTGTGGGGTGTCAGTGTTGTTCATCTATGTGGCCCTTCATGTCAACCAACTACTTCCTCAACACCCATACATTGACCCTGTTTCTGTTAGTTGACTGTTTCTCTTTTTTGCTGAAGTATTTTAGAAAATATGTAAGTAGACTATATCTTTTTTTTTTTTTTTGACAGGCAGAGTGGACAGTGAGAGAGAGAGAGACAGAGAGAAAGGTCTTCCTTTGCCATTGGTTCACCCTCCAATGGCCGCCGCGGCTGGCGTGCTGCGGCCAGAGCACCACGCTGATCCGATGGCAGGAGCCAGGTACTTATCCTGGTCTCCCATGTGGGTGCAGGGCCCAAGCACCTGGGCCATCCTCCACTGCACTCCCTGGCCACAGCAGAGAGCTGGCCTGGAAGAGGGGCAACCGGGACAGAATCTGGCGCCCCGACCAGGACTAGAACCCGGTGTGCCGGTGCCGCTAGGAGGAGGATTAGCCTAGTGAGCCGCGGCGCCGGCCTAAGTAGACTATATCTTGAAAAGGAAGTATCTTCATTAACATTCAGCAAATATTTACTGAGGGTCTGTCATTTACCTAGCACTGTTCTGGTTGCCTAGGAATGTATCAATGAGTACATCACACAAATCCACTACCCTTAAGTGGCTTATATTCTAAGAAACATATGGAACATGGAGATTCTTCATAAAATGTACCATGGTTATCCATTTTGTCACTTGGGTTAATCCTAATTATTGGCAGTGGGAATTATTTTTGAACTGAACTTCTCTAACTTCAATAGTTCAAGGCCTTTTCTCCCATACCTTCTCCCCATCTTTCCCTTTATCCAAATCTCTCCATTCATTCTCTCATTTCTTTTGTTTTTTAATGTTTTATTTATTTGAAATACAGAGTGAGAGAGAGAGAGAGAGAGAGAGAGATCTTCTATTTCCTAGTTTATTCCCCAAATGCCCACAACAGCTGAGGCTAGGCCAGGCCAAAGTCAGAAGTCAAGAACTCCATCCAGGTCTCCCACATGGGTGACAGGAGCCCAAGTTCATAAGCCATCATCTGCTGCAGGAAGCTGAATATGAAATGGAGGTGGGACTGCATCCAAAGCACTCCACTATGGAATGTGGGGATCCCAAGTGGCAGCTTAACTAGCTATGCTACAACACCTGCCTCTTATTCTCTCTCTTCTGTTCGTATATTTGACATAAAACATCTTTACCCATGGTACATTTTCACTTCCTTAGCTTGACTCAGGCTGCAGTTCAGTCCTCTTCACAGGAAGTATGTTTTATGCCCCGCATGGATGAAGGGAGGGTTATTTGGTGTTTGGCCTCACCATGGACCCCTGCCTTGGTAGGTGGCTGGTTGAATTTCACATCTTTCTTTCTTGTTAGATTGTTGGCTGCGATCACCAGCTGGGAAGCACCGTCAAGGAGGATAACTGTGGGGTCTGCAACGGAGATGGGTCCACCTGCCGGCTGGTCCGAGGGCAGTATAAATCCCAGCTCTCTGCAACGAAATGTAAGACACTACAGAGATGGGGCAATATTTGGACTTGCTGACTTGTTATCCACCCCTAGCTTAGTTCTTGCTCCCCCTCAGCAGCCAGGGACTAACATCTCCACTGATATGAAAATGAGTCTGAAAATGTTATGGAAAGCTTCATGTTCCTGTTTGTGGGTTAGCTTAGATGGGATTAGTCAGGTCACACAATTGCAATACCAGGCACAGCAGGAATAAAGTGGCCCTGGGTCTAGAGACACTTTCAATGCAAACATAGCTTTGCTGTGCAACATTGGAAGAGAGGAAATCCCAGCTCCTCTGTGATATGGGGGTTTCACTAGCCTGATGGAATATAGCAGAGAGCATAGGAAGATTGGCACAATTCACCCACATCATAGAGATCAGTAGTCTTCATTTACAAAGTGTCTTTGGTCAGGGCTCACATAAGTTCTTCCAAAGTTAGTATTAGGGTACGATTATGTGATATCATTTATTGACTTTTGTGTCCTGATCTCTCTCTACAGCAAATAAATGTGTTCTCACTATACATATACATGTTGGGAACTTGATGTGATCTTCTCATTCAGTCTGTATAACAACTTCATGAGTAAGATCCTGTCAAATTTGCATTTGTGACATCATGTTACAAATAAGACAACAGAAGCTTACCCATATTATGTGACTTGCTCAGAGTCACACAGCTACAAAATAATAGAGCCAAGATTTGAGCTCAGAAGCCAATTCCAAGCCCTAAGCACCTATTCCTCTGCCTGTCACACAATCCTTGTGATGTTTGGGAGGCAGAGAGATGAATCAGGGCAAGGTGCCTCTGATGTCTGTCCACTAGCATCCTGCTAGGGTAGACTGTGTATAAGTATCTCAGGATACTTATGCCAATAATGGAGTCACATGTTAATCTAGGTCATTTTACAATATACAGTCTTCTCCTTAAATCAGCGTTTGACATACAGTGGCAGATATAGATAGAAATAAGACAGTCCTTGGCCACACATTTTTAGAATTATTTTGACCTTACTTGGCATATTTTCTCCAGATTTTGCCATCATCTTTAATAGATCCTTCACTGAGCATCTCTTTTCACATGTCTTCACTCGCATGGGAAAGAAGAATGAGTATCTGTACCAAGTGTGGCTTTGCTCTCCTCACTTGTTGACTAGTAGAAAGAAAACAATTGACATATGGTGGGATTGTGGCTTTAAAAGGAATTGTGGGTCAAGAAGAAATGCAGATGCAGTTAACCTTGTGTGCACTGAAAAACTACTCAGGGAAGTCATGAATAGTTTGCCCATAGGGCAAGGTTCTAAGGAAGAAGTCAGGCAGAAAACATGAAAACTTGGAGATGCCAGCTTAGGAAACCCTCTACGTTCTAACTCCCCTAGAGCAGTGAAACATGTCATTCTGCAGAAGATTACAAAAGAATCAAGACTCTGGCAGTTAGGATGAAGGATGAGATAATGTAGACTTTGATGCAGTACATTCAGATGAGAATTGTCCTAAGTCTTACGTGTTGGCGGCTTCTGCTATACAATGAAACATTTAAGATAAAGGCTAGAAATGAGTAAAGAAATGGTTCCTTTTAAATCTTTTAACTCATACTAGGTAGTTGGACAATTGCATTTAAAAGGTCACTCAATACAGGACTCTGTAAGGAATGCTAGAAGTGTTAAAGTCCTTCTAATTTTTTCTGACACATAATGGAATCACAGCTAATTATCTAGAGGTGCTGTTAGGTACAGGATTCTGTGCATTTGTGCAGAGTGACTTTGTTTCTTAACGGCGGGGTCCTTCTTAACTCGCATGCCCTTGCTTACCAGCTCTCGTAGAGAACGTATAGACGTTTCTCTTACCCTTCTGTTAGGGTGTGATGGTGACCTCTGTGATCTGTATCACTGCAACTGAGGTAGAGAAGCTCTGAAGGAAGAAACTGAAACAGAGTGAGAGCCACATGTCACCTCCAGGTCTGCAAATAAATATATCAGTGGAAAGTGCTCTATCCAAGACTGACAGTGAGTAAATTATATAATATGCAGTCTGATGATTATACATAATGACAAAATACAATTGACTCATCTACCTTGCCCTGATGATACCTCATGACAAAATGATTTATATCAATAAAGCTGAGCGTATGCAAGTACCTCACCACAATCTATTGCAGATGCTGAGCACACTGCCTCACTTATGTTTCTCCCCCCCACCCCCCGAAAAATCCTCCCCGTCTATCCATAGACTGTGAGGTGACCCACAGGCAGGGAAGAGTAGGCTGCCGTGCAGGGCCCAGTGCACCAGCCAGGTGAATGCTGGTCCATTCTGAAGGCCTTGGAGTTGCTCTGCCAGGTCTCTCCCTTGTATTCTGCCAAAAGGCACCACAAGGCAACCTCATGCGCTCCCCTCAGATGCCTGGATTCTCCAGCCTGAACTCATTTTCTCTCAGAATTTCTATCCAAGTGTTTTTTTCTTTATGTTATCAAGCCTTAGGAGAACAAAGAGAAAACAGGAGAGTGGAGAAAGACCATGGTAGAAAGTGCCAGAAGTAGAAAGAGAAGGAGGAACTTATCAAATAGCTCCCATTTGCTGGTGAATAAAAAGGAACCATCTTTGCCTGAAAAGGCATTACAGTTGCTTAATGCAAACAAAATGAAATAGAGCAGGATCAAGGTGCTGTCTCTGCTCTTTAATGGGAAAGACTGTTTACCAAGAGTTTTCAGTCTTCCCACTTCTCTTGGTCATCTCTTCTTGACTTCCCAGCCCAATAAAAGAAAAACAATTGAATATAACTAACACTACTTTGCTTTTGATTCTGGAAATGTAAAGGTTCATTTTCTTAGAAATGTTATGGACTGAAACTATATTATGTGATTTCCAAGTGTACTCAGATTTATTAGACCTAGGCCCAGCCTGTGTGCTCATTTGGAGTCCTCGCCTGTGCCTAGGTATGTTCTGAACTTACGTGACTATCCGAAAGTTCTCTCTCCACCTTCCTTGCATGCCAAGGCCCAAGTAAACTGATTTTTATCAAGATAAAAGGAAGCTCCTAGCACTTACGAATGTGCCTCACAGACTGAGGTTTATTCTGATTAATAATGACTGTAAATAAACATATTTCTGGATTATCAGTCTGGCTCAAATATTTTGAGGTGAAGTATGTGTAAAATAATATTGAAGTGTCTATATTATATGGTTAAAATACACATGAAATTTTAAATAGAGCCCAACTCATTGAAGAAATTTCTGTTTTGTAGCTGTATGGTTCAGGCTATATGTGCAAGCCACAACCTACATAAATAAATATTCATTTATTTTAGAGCAAATATTTATTAGGCCCCTGCTATGTATGGAAGAACTCTTCTAGGTGCTAGAAATACAACAACAACAACAACAAAACAAAAACAAATGTTCATTTTTCTCTTGAGACTTATAGACAAGTATCAGAATAAATGGATTTATGAAATGTGGTGACCTGGAGAGGAGGTAAACATTGTGGTATAGTGAGTAAAGCCACTGCCTGCAGTGCCGGCATTTCATATGGGCTCCTGTTCCAGGTCCAGCTGCTCCACTTCTGTTCCAGCTCCCTATTAATGCGACTGGGAAAACAGCGAGAGATGGTCTAAGTGCTTGGGCCCCTGTACCCATGAGAGATACCTGGAAGAAGCTCCTGGCTCCTGTCTTTGGCCTGGCCCCACCAGGGCCTTTGTGGACTTTTGGGGAATGAGCCAATGGATGGAAGATATCTCTTTCTCCCTCTCAATATTTTTTTTAAATCTTCAAAGGAAAAGGAATGTGGTAATAGGAGCTATGGAGAAAATAAAATAGGGAAAAAGGCAAACACGAGATTGGAATGGGCTGGCAACCAAGGCTGTGGGAAGAAGTTTCAGCGTTAAGTCGGTTAATAAGGAAAGGACTTTGTGATAGGGCATTTGAGCACAGATGCAAGGGAAGTTGAAGTAGCACACTGAACAAGAGTCGGGAAAGAGAACTGCAGGCAGAGAAGAGCAAATGCAAAGAGGCTGAAAAACTTGCATTTGTGACATCTTGAAGAGTGAGGAAACCATCGTGGCTAAAGCAAAGTGAGCTTTAAAAAGACTAGAGGATGAGATCAGACACACTCAGGCTGGTTAAAAGAACAATAAGAAAAGAAGGTGAAAAGGAGGAAGGGTAGGGTGGTGGGGTTTTTATCATGCTCTTAAAACTGTGCATATGAAATACATGAATTTTGTTCCCTTTTTATAAATAAAATTTTTAAAAGATAGGAAATTATGAAGACAGGGAGGTTATGAGTTATAGTGAAGAATGGTATGAATATTGTAGGACTTATATTTTAGTCCAGTTGAGTTGAGAAGTCACCGGAGGTTTTTGAACAGAGAAATTGCTTCATTTAATTTTTAAGACCTGTTGTATCTACTAGGTTGAGAATAGATTACTGGGTCCAATTTTGGACGTGGGAAAAGCAATCAAGTAGCTAATACCTTATGCCTGGCCAGGGAGAATGACGCTTGCACTGCACCAGTAGTTGTGGAAGGGATGAGAAGTGATTTGATTCTGGATACACTGCACTTCTTTGAATCTAAAATATCATTGATTGAAATATGTACCATTATTTCATGTGTTACAGAAAGAAAAAAAAATGTTGATGAGATGTAGAAAACATGATACAGTCAGTGCTTTCCAATCACTTGGATTTTTACTTCATAGTCCTTAAAATCTTAGATTTAGAAATATTTTCCCTATATTATACTTGTGCATATAGAAAGAATAATTCATACATGAAACTTTTTCTCAAACTTTAACTCTTCTACATTCTTGCAAATTTAGTTTAGAGGGAGAAGAAAACAAAGAAAGAATACTCCCATCCACAGGTCCAATCCCCCAAATGCCTGCATTTGGATTGTGTTGGTCTGATGCCAGGTGCTAGGAACTCAACCCAGGTCTACCATGTGGGTGGCAGATTCACTTACTTCAGCCATCACTGCAGCCTCCCAGTGCATGGGCATTAATTG